TGGGGCTGGGGACCACGAGAAGATGTTGATTGGCAGATCATAAAGCCCTTCGGGGCTCAAAGAAGGAGAGGTGGTCTCACAGATATGCTGGCCCCTGGCCTAGGGCTGCCAAGTGGGGGCGGGTGGCGCGTAAACCCCCGCTTTGGAGGCCTGATTTCCACCGCCGCGGAATCGGGCCCCGGGGGGAACTCTGCCCCCCGAAGTGCAGCGTGGCTGCGTCACCAGAGGTGACGCAACCACATCGATCACGTTGGGGGCGTGGCCCCAATTGTTGGAGGGAAAACTCTATGGTTTTCCCTCCGACGATCGGGGCCACGCCCCCAACGTGATCAACGTCGCACGTCACTTCCGATGATGTGCTGGCGGTGCGCGCGCGCACACACACGGACGAAAAGCCCCCGGAGCTCGGCGAGGCTCCCCCGCCAGTGAGTAACACTCACTTGGCAACCCTACCCTGGCCGTATAGGGTTTTAAAGGTAAGCACCAGCACCTTGAAACGGATCTGGTACTCAATTGCGCAGCACTGGGTGGATGTGGGCCTGTACAGGCAGTGACATCAGTACCCATGTTGCTGCATTCTGCACCAGCTGCAGTTTCCAGAGCAGAATCAAGGGCAGCCCCAGGTAGAGAGAATTACAATAATCTAATCTGGAAGTGACCATTACATGGGTCACTGTAGCCAGATCCCAGGGAGTGAGATATGGGGCCAACTGCCTGATCTGCCTCAGATGGAAGAAGGCAGACCTGGCAGTGGTGGCAATCTGGTTGTTGCAGCTTAGCTATTATTGAACCGCTGGCTAAAGATGAACAAAAATATATAAAAATAATATTTAATGCCAAGTTCAGTAATTCAGAAGTATAACTATATAAAGCCAAGGTGTTCTTGCAAAAAACAACAAATATACAGAAAGATGGAATAAAGTCCCAAAATTTTCAGTGTGTCTCACGTGCATTCATCATGGAGTGGACTCCTATAGTTCCTGGATAATCCAAACATTCTAGAATTCCATAAGCCATAGAGACACGTAGTCCAGATGCAAGTGGCCGCATTTTTACAAATTCCAATACAGATCAAGTAAAAATTAAATTTAACTGATTAATTATAGTCCCTTCATTCTCTCCTGATACAATAGGCTAACCAGCCAAATTTAGCCACCGTACAAGTAATATTCAGATTTTATCTGCCAACATAATTGAAAGTTGTAAGACAGTTATGTGATATTGCCTCTCATTCTCCTTTTCAAACCAACTCAGCCTTGAGGAAGGGGACTTCGGGGGAAGGTATGTGGAGTGCCCTTTCCCACACGGAACTTTTCTAGGCTTCGAGCCCTTGCTGCAAAAAAACCCCCCACCCACAATTCCCACTTCTGCTTTCTTCCACAGGCCTGCTCCTGGCTGCTGATTGGTTGCCTGCCTGCCACCCCTTCTCTTGCTATGGCTGCTTCCAGTTCTTCTGCCCCCACTGCCATTAATGCTCCTAGGGCTGCCTCCAGGCCCTCGCTTGCTGCTGCAATGTCTTCTGCTTTCCTTGTGTGATGTCAGAGGCGCCTACAAACTCGGCAGGGGCTCTGCAGTGAGACGCCATGTCTAGCTGTGCCTGGAATCTCTTCCATCAAGAAGCTGGCCTGTCTCTGGAAATTCTGACGTGCTGCTGAACATTGGTCAGAGAAAGGGTCTGTAACCAGTGGGATCAGCTCACTGGCCACCAGCTGTAGTTGATGGGAAGGCAGCGTAGCCCCCGTGTTGCCTAACAATGTGCCTGTTTTATTTATTTTAGAAAATCCCATTAGTCAGTCTTAACCAGCAAGATGGGTAATGGCATACATCCATTATAAAATAGTCACAGAGATTGTTGCAGGCCCCGTTCCTTGTTCTGACTCACCTTTCCACTGAATTTTATGAAGCAAAGTGAAGAAGAGGTTTGGAAATGGGAGAGCAGATCGGGGACAGTCTGGTACAGAGCACCAGATCATGAAGTAATCCCTAGTACCATGGACCTCCATATTTCTGCAGAGGTCCAACTGGAAAAACAAAACAGCGGGGAGGGGGATTCTTTCCTCTGCCTCCCCTCCTAATAGACAGTGTTTGTGAAAGAGTGAAGCAGTTCTTCCTGTGGTCTGGTTTCGTTCTGTCCATTTCCAGATGTAATTCCAGCCACACAGCATCTTGACAGTTATGGAAGTTAGGCATCTGATCCAAATTTTACAGTTGGGGAATTTCAGCCAGCATTAATAAAAGTACCAAGTAATGGTGGTGTGAGCTAAAAAAATCCTGAACACATGGGTTGGCCTGTAGCTCCATGGCAGAACACCTGTAATCTGTTGCCAAGTGTGCTTTGAATGTATTATTTGTGCTATGCTGATGTCTGCCTGTCTGTAATTGTCTCTGCATTTGTGTGAGATATGGGAAACGCTGTGTGCCTTGGGTTTGCTTGCTTTGCCTCCATGCTTGTACCTGGAAGCTACAATGTGCAGGGCCTGCTATGAGTATGCTAATGGACACACGCATACACACACACCTTCCCAGCCTGCTTTGGGACAAAGAAGACATTCGCCATTAAGCTCAGCCTCATGAAGTCTTGGGAACTACAACTCTCCCACCATTGGAGATCTTCTGCATAACATGTAACCCCTCGTATCTGGTTTGGCATCACAAAAGACAACATCCTGTTATTGCCTTCTTGGACCAGGCCATCATCTGCAAGTCAAAAGTTACTATGGCAATGTAACTTTGACACCTTGCCACATGGCTCCCATTGAAGTGTAGGGTAGAATTTGAATATCGCCCCACTCCCCTCAACCTATAGGCATAGAGAAGGGGACGGATTGTAGGTGTATATTGGCCTTATGCCAACCCCCAAAGCTAGGTTTTATAAGAAGAAACACAGCCTTTGTTTCTTCGGATTTTCTTGGTTAACCATCCTCCTTGCTATCTTCACCTTGCAACTTATGTCTACTGAAGGTGATTCTTAAAGCATTCTCTCGGGTCACTACCAAGAGAACCCACAGGTGTTTGGCTGGACCATTCAGTGTGTTTTTAGAATCCCTAAAGATAGTACTTTTGTTCCTGTACCTTCTGCTGAGAAGAATTACTTCTCGCCTGGAATTCAGATAAGTATCAACGCTACCCTTCTGTGTGTACCTTAATTGTTAGTCTGAAGTTATTATTTTTATTACTGATTGTTTTCTGTATCTACTGTGAACTAAAGGAACTTGAGTGTATGCGTGAGAGCATCTGTTTTGTGTGCTTGTGATCAAAAATATTTAGTAAAGACAACATTTATTCATTAAACATCAGTGTGTTGTCTCGCTTCTTGGGAAATAGGAGAGTCCATTCTGATTCCGCCCTCTGGATACACGGGTAAAACGAACTCACAGCCCACTGTCGTATATAAGGCAGAGTTGGGCCACAGGAACAATTGTCACTAGGAGGATTTCTGGTAACAGTATTAAGAAGGTCCTCATTCGAATATTTGTCATTTCCAGTTAGAAGGATCTGTGACAATGGGATAAAAATAGTAGGCTTGATCTTGGTTGGAGTCCTCAACATTGTGAACAAGAGCTTCCTTTTTTTTTAATCACATGCACAGGGGTTGGTTCATATTATTACTACTCTGTGACAGTTGAGAAACCCACTTGTGAGGGGGCATTGCTTCAAGCCAGCCATATGGAAAAGAAAGGTCTCATTGGCTGTCTTGTGGCAATCTCTCTGAGCATACAGTGACACTTCCTATGCTGAATATTTGTAGCAAACCCTGTTTTGTCCTTCCTGGGACTGTACACTATATAATCCGCCTTGAGTCTCAGTGAGGAAGGCAGACTATAAATAACTAAATAAATAATGGGCACGGAATCAATTTATTCACAATTTGATATAACATTGGACAGTAGAACTGGTTCTTGCCAATCTATGAGTTCTCTCTCTGAGGCCAAAACCTCAAATTGGGTGCACAGTGAGAAAATGCACGCTTGCAATTTTGCATAGGAAGCTAAATCAGATTCTCAGGCCTACTTGTGCTAAGCATTTTAAACAGCCTATTCCAATTGACTTTAGAGTCCATGACGGCTCCATGAGAGATGGGAGTTCAGCTTTTCCTTCTGTGCTGTTTTCCTAACCTAAAATAGCACTATCTCCTCCCCCCTTCCCTAGAGCAATCACGCAGTTGTTTCTCAGAAATTTGGAGAACTTGTGCCAGTCAGGGACAAATGGCATATTGCATGCTATAAGCAATACAAATCTTTTTTTCCCCCTTTAGCAAACAGCAGGATCTGCAAATTCTTGAAACGTAAAGCTATTGCGTGCTTTTCTCTGCTGACTGTCATCCTCACCATTGTTATAATAGGTAAGTTTTTCTCGTTTTGACTTTGTGGTGATATCAGGGTAGCCTGATCGCATCAGACCTTGGAAGCTAAGCAGTTTGGCCCTGGTTAGCATTTGGATGGGAGAGCACCAAGGAAGTCCAGGGTCATCTGTGACTTCACGGCACTTTCCACCACAATTACAGCTTCTGTGGTTAACATGTCCCTAGCCAGAATCACGGATTTGATCATTCCTTGTTTTTTAATCTGAAACAGCCTTCTTTGATGTCCCCCGGTGCTCAGGAGACAGGCTGTCATGCCATAGCATAAATGGTGCTAGTATCCAGAATTGTAGCATGAATGAATATATAACATGACAGGCAGAAAGCAAGGCTGAGATAGCTTTCTATGTAATGTTTTGCTTGTGCTGAATGTTTGTCTGACAGACCTAGTGGTGAAAGTATTTAAAATGTTTGAATGTCCCTCTACTGTTAGTGTATGACGATTTATGGTGTTTTTATTTGTAAGTTGCCTCAAGGTGACTGACCTGGATGGCCCAGACTAGCCCAATTTCATCAGATCTCAGAAGCTAAGCAGGGCTGGCCCTGGTTCGTACTTGGATGGGAGGCCACCAAGGAAGTCCGGGGTTGCTACACAGAAGCAGGCCATGGCAAAACCACCTCAGTTCATCTCTTGCCTTGAAAACCCCCTGAGGGGTCATCATAAGTTGGCTGCAACTTGACAGGACTTTCCACCACCACCTCAAGCAGAACTTTGGATAGCAGAACTCAAGAGAGTAGGCTAAATGGGTTAAAGGAAAAGCAGCCATGTTCTCTCCATTAGCCAGTGGTTTATAGAAGGAATGGTGTTCACTAGCTGTCATTTCTGCCTCTGAACATATTGATGCAGTGACAAATAGGTCCTGCTGTGATTCTGACTGATCATCTCAGGTTCTGTGTGCCTTTCTCAGAGGAAGGGGCAGGACTTGACAAGGTGCCAACTACTTTAGTTTCTTTCTCAGTTCTAGGAGTAAAACTACATGGACAGCAAAGCCATGGTCTGGTTTCACCTACACCATGCCCCGTGTCACGCCCTTCATTCCATGTGCCATGCCCTTCTCGCTGGGTTGGGTATGAGGGGATGTGCTACTTCTTCTCCACTGAAGAAAGGACTAGGACAAGTAGCCACGAGTTCTGCTCTTCATATAATGCCTCCCTGGCTACAGTTGAAAATGAGGAAAAGGTGAGCAGTTAAAATGTTGTATTTATTTTCCTGTTATAGAACATCACTGAGAGCCACTTTGGTGCAGTAATTAAAATGTCAGACTAGGATCTGAAAGACCCAGGTTCCGATCCCCACTCTGCTGTGGAACTTGGCTGGGTGACCTTGGGCCAGTCATACTGTCTCTCAGCATAGCCCTACCTCACAGGGTTGTTGTGAAGACAAAATGGAGGAGAGGAAAATGATGTCAGGCATTTTGGACCCCTGCTGAAGAGAAAGGCAGGGCATAAAAGGAGTAAACAAATAAATGTGCTGTTGGTGACCCTGAGCTGATAGGTAGCATGAGAAAGCTGAAGGGATTTCTGAACAGATAAAAATGGTTAGCACATTAGTTTTTAATCTGTAGCATATCATGTGGCAATAATATTTATTTTCTTTCTGAAGTGCATTTCCCATATTACTAGCCTCATTACTAGCCCAGTTATATGCTACAGTGGTTTTGGAGATCACAGGCAGTAGAGAATATAAGAATGTATTTATTTGTTTTTATTTATTTATTAAATTTCTACCCCGCCCTCCCGCCGAAGCGGGATCATCTGTTCATTTTTTAAAATGAAAAATGTGTTCATTTGATCAGTTGTAGGTTAGCTAATACTGCAGGTCAAGGTTATAACATTTCTCTCTTCTTTTCTTTAAAGGATGCTGTGCTGCGGTACAGGGAGAAAGTGCCCTATTGGATCGGCCTCACAAGACGCTCAGGACAGCCCTGGAAATGGCCAGATGGCCAAATTGCAAGGTAAGGCCTGGTCTTTCCCTTTACCC